GCAAGGCTTTCAATGCAACCAGCATGCCAGCAGCCAGGCAGATGTTGCATCAAGGCTTGGCCCAAAATACTGACTTCTGATGCGATTTCAGGTGAAGTTTGACCTTCAGGGGCCCGCCACACACACAGAAACAAACACTCCTGGCACTGGCACCTTTGACAAAATTCAAGAATTCAGAGGCTGATGGCTCGCAATGCAATGAGAACAGTCAGAAAAAAACTACACTTGGTTGCTCCCTCACCTTCAAAACCCTTGCAGGAATTTAGGGCACAGTCTTACACCTGGTAGGTGTTGCTTGTCAAGCCTCACTGGCCCTGGTGTTGAAACAGGGCATGATAACACATACACACATACACACACACACATGCACATGCACGTGCACACACACACAGACACACACACACACACAACACACACCCACACACACACACACACGCACGCACACAAACACACACATGCACACATGCACACATGCCTGCACACACACAAGTGCACACACACACACACACATGCTTTGCGCACACACACACACACGCACGCACACCACGCACACATGCATGCACCCACCCACCCACACACACACACACGTGCATGCACCCACACACACACACACGCACGCACACACACACACCAACACACAGGCACACACACAGAGACACAGAAACAGGCACAGAGACACAGAGCCACAGAGTCACAGAGGAGTCACAGAGACACAGGGAAACACGCTCAGAAACGCAGTTGCACACTCTCTTACGTGCATGCACACACACATCACAGAGACACACAGACACACACATTGCACACTCTCTTACGTGCATGCACACACACATGCACACAGACACACACATGCCAAGGCATGGCTTCCATGCCTGGGAAGAATTAGCTCAATCCCCTGAAACAAGCCCTGGAATGATTCAAGCACTAGGCACCTGAAGTGTTAAACTTGAAGTTTTGCAATGTGGAAACTTACTTGCCCCAGGCATTGAGAATGCAGACTTGCACTTTCAGATCATGGACTTGCAGGAGAAGCAGGAGCAGAGCTCTTCTTCCAAGAGCCAGCCATCAAATGCCAAGAAGCCTGAGATGTCTAAGAAGTGAAGCCAGCATTGCAGGCCTACAGGCCTGCAGGCTAGCTTGAACTTGGCTACCTGGCGCCGTTCTGGAAAAAAGCTTGTGAAGCGGTGGGTGTTTGTGTGTGTGTGTGTTACCCATGTGTGGTTGCATGTGCCGTGCGTGGCCTTTGCTGAGCAGCTCAGTTGCGCCTGTTTAGGCTCAAGGTCACTGTGTACATGTCTGTTTGCGCTGTGTTATCAATGGGCTTCTCCTTGCGTTGCAATTGAAGAGCCCACCTGCGGGCAGCACTCATCAGGGTCAACCGATGCAGCACATGCACTTGGGGCTTTGGGGCTGACGCGCATGGCTTGCAGCTGGGGGGCAGGGAGGGGGACTGGAGCATTTATTGGTCTGGTGCTGAACGAATTTCCTGCCCAATGGAGCTGTTTGGAAATTAGATGTTTTGCGCCACTTGGTTGATTGAAGGTTTGCCCTCCCCCTTGCATGATGTCTTCAAGGTTTCTGGCATTAATGTTTAGTGTGTAATTGGTGTTCAAATTTGACAATCCCATCAAGGAGCATCAAAGCTGAACAGTTGTCCTGGCGAAAGTGCAACATTGGCTGGCAGAACCCCAGCCTCCAATCGGTCAACACCTTCAAAAGTCAGTGGGGCCCTCCCTAGTGTCTGACAAGGGCTGGGGTGAACTGCGAAAACTTGCCTTGAACATCCTTTAAGCCTCTGGCCTTTGTCTTACTTGTTCCCAACCCCTACAGTGATAGGAAAATCCAAGGCATGGAGTCCATGCCTTGGCAGGCTTACAACCCCACAATGTGACTGCGCCCTAGTGAGTGGCAACATTGCCTCTTTGCCTGCCAGGCCTGTGTCACCCTGAAGTGAGGGCCTTAGATGCCTGGGCCTTAGTGTCTGCACCTTAGCTTGCAGCAGGCTCCGCTCTGCTGGGGCCTTAGTGAACCTCAGTGCAGGGCTTGAGCCTTAGTGCCCAGCTGCCCCAAACAGTCAAATGGCAACTTCTTTGGTGCAAGCGTCTGTGTGCAAACACATTGTGGCTGCAGTGTGGTTTGGTGCACGGGTGTGCAACAGGGCATGAAACTTAGGGTCATGGTCAGCACACGTAGCCCCACATGCATTTTCTCAATGGCTGTGCCCTCTATGCATAGTGCTTTGCAGTTGTTACAGTTCTGAAGCAAAGCAGGGATATATATTGACCACTAGGCCATTGAATATTGCAGTCTTGGTGCAGGCTAAAGTGCCCCATGACCATCCTCCCTCTCTGGCCAGGCCTGCTTGGTCATCTTTGCCATGTGCCCAGAAAAAAATGGTGCGCTTTTCAGCGCTACCCGCTTTTCAGCGGTGCCTATGTTTAAACCCTCCCTCCCTCCCTCCCTCCCTCCCTGTGAACTGCTGCTCCAGGTAGCCCGCCAAGTAGTCAAGACAGGGGGGATGCAAGAGGGACCCTTAGGGAATGAGAGGTGGGATGCCTGGCAAACAAAACTAAATCTTGGTATCTTAGAATGTTGGTGCCTGTATCTTAGTTCCATTTCTTCTGGTTTTTTGTTTGTTTGTTTCCAGCTTGAGGTTTTTTGTTCAAAAGAGAAGCTCCCAAGAGCAAAAGAAAGCCGGCTTCCCCCAAAAGAGCCAGCTCCCGAAAGAGCCCAGCTTCCAACTCGCACCGGCTGATTAGTTTTTACAACTCTCTCCTTTTGGGAAGAAACGTCTAAGGATACATCCAAACACCGCCCGAGTGTGTTGGGGGAGTCTCCAAAGCTGGTAAATGCGATTACATTCTTGGGATCTAAATGTGTCTCAACACCTTAGTCGCGCCAACCTGAGTTACAACTCCCAAAGACAAGAGCACTTTGAAGGCCTGAAAACGGGGGCTCGGTGCCCTTCGTCGAGTCGGGATACCCAAGACCACGAATTCTGTCCGGATTCGGGGAATATACGGGGGGGTGCCCTGGTTCCCCCTTCAAACAATTCCAACGACCGAATACTACTCGTTTTGGGTGGTGTCCTTTTGGTCGGCAGTCAAAGAGGAACCCCAAAGAAACCAGCTGTTTAGGGGATCACTATATTGAGAAGCCGCACATATACATACATACATACATACATACATACATACATACATACATACATACATACATACATACATACATACATACATACATACATACATACATACATACATACATACATACATACATACATACATACATACATACATACATACATACATACACACACATACATACATACATACATACACACATACATACATACATACATACATACATACATGCATACATGCATACATGCATACATGCATACATGCATACATGCATACATGCATGCATATGATGCATGCATGCATGCATGTATGTAATGTATGTATGTATGTATGTATGTATGTATGTATGTATGTAATGTATGTATGTATGTATGTATGTATGTATGTATGTATGTATGTATGTAATGTAATGTAATGTAATGTATGTATGTATGTATGTATGTATGTATGTATGTATGTATGTATGTATGTATGTATGTATGTATGTATGTATGTATGTAATGTAATGTAATGTATGTAATGTATGTAATGTATGTATGTATGTATGTATGTATGTATGTATGTATGTATGTATGTATGTATGTATGTATGTATGTATGTATGTATGTATGTATGTATGTATGTATGTATGTAATGTAATGTATGTATGTATGTATGTATGTATGTATGTATGTATGTATGTATGTATGTATGTATGTATGTATGTATGTATGTATGTATGTATGTATGTATGTATGTATGTATGTATGTATGTATGTATGTATGTATGTATGTATGTATGTATGTATGTATGTATGTATGTATGTATGTATGTATGTATGTGTATGTATGTGTATGTATGTATGTATGTATGTATGTATGTATGTATGTATGTATGTATGTATGTATGTATGTATGTATGTATGTATGTATGTATGTATGTATGTATGTATGTATGTATGTATGTATGTATGTATGTATGTATGTATGTATGTATGTATGTATGTATGTATGTATGTATGTATGTATGTATGTATGTATGTATGTATGTATGTATGTATGTATGTATGTATGTATGTATGTATGTATGTATGTATGTAATGTATGTATGTATGTATGTATGTATGTATGTATGTATGTATGTATGTATGTATGTATGTATGTATGTATGTATGTATGTATGTATGTATGTATGTATGTATGTATGTATGTATGTATGTATGTATGTATGTATGTATGTATGTATGTATGTATGTATGTATGTATGTCTGTATGTATGTATGTCATGTCTGTATGTATGTATGTATGTATGCATGTATGTATGTATGTATGTATGTATGTATGTATGTATGTATGTCTGTATGTATGTATGTATGTATGCATGCATACCATGCATGCATGCATGCATGCATCCATCCATCCATCCATCCATCCATCCATGCATGCATGCAGGCAGGCAGGCAGGCAGGCAGGCAGGCAGGCAGGCATGCATGCATGCATGCATACATACATAACATACATACATACATACATACATACATACATACATACATACATATATATATATACACATGTACACATATATGGGCGTGTCCTTTTTGGATGGTGCCCTTTCTTGCCTGCTGTAAAGAGGTGCCAAAGGAACCCATCAATTTTTGCGAGTTCCACTCTCTTGAGGGAGTGCCCTTGTTGAGGGTTTTCAAGGGGAACCAACAGGAAGCCCCCATCTGTCATCTTCGGGGTCTCCGATTCGCAAAAAAAAGGAGGAGGCACAACCCTCTTTTTGGGGGGCGCCGATTCGTAAAAAAGTCAAACAAGAAAACGAGACCAGGAGCCGCCCATCTGACCGCGTCAGTCACATCCTCGGGTCTTCGGCTCCAGGGGCCTGGACTCCACGCCGAAGGCGCCGAAGGAGCCGCCGGGGCCGCGGCGCTTCGCGCCGCCGCAGCCGGCCGCGCCGGTGCGGCAGCTGGAGCCGCTGGAGCTCAAGACGCGAGGCGAGTCTGAGCAGTCTGTTCCTATTATGCTTGATGTTTTTCCATCTGTTTTTGTAGGGGGGGTTGCAGTCTATTATTGTGATTTTTGGTGTTGTTTTGTGTGTGTGTGGGTGCTTGATTTCAGAAACAACATGTATGTTTGATGTTTAAGCCATTGGGGTTGAGCATTTTTGCCTCCATCCCAATACTCCAAAGAAGGAGGCTGCTAAATAGACTCGACGTCCGTACCGGGAGTTGCGTCGGTGGACTAGAGGAGGGGGGTCTCAGAGAATTTGTTAGGGTTAAACTCTCAGAATCTGAAATGATAATTACTGGATCATATGTTCCCGTCGCCCGTCGTCCCCAGCCCCCCCCCCCCCCCCACTGGTGTGGGTCCATCCAGGGGCGGGGAACCATGGACCCCCCACCCATCCCACAGGGGAGCGGGGGGGCTCACACTGTGCTGCCTTCTATAGACCCCGCATTGGCTTGTACGTTCACACTGTGCTACGTTCTATAGTCCCCAACCCCCATTCCCACAGGGGGGGGGCTGTATAGTCACACTGTGCCACGACTGAGCACGACCATTGGGGGGGGGTGGGGGGGCCAAGGAAGACTGGATCATATATATATGTATATATATATATGCACATTGATATATATATATATATATACACACATTTTAAGCCCCTATGGACCTGAATCTGAAAGTGCAATTTTTAGTGTACTGTAGAGTTGGGCCGTCTGAACAGGTGGGTTTGGTGTGGTTTTGAAGGGAAAGCAAGGGGAACGTATTTTAAGACACGTCCTTCCATTTGTATTCTTTTAGGCTTGGCCAGGGCCGCTCAATGGGGTTGCTTGATTGGTGTGTGTGTGTGTGTGTGTTTAGGGGCACACGTGGTGGTTTGACATGGTTTAGATGGTTAGTTGGTTGAGATTGCTTCAGGTGGACTGGTATGTCCAAAGGTGCGTTCTGAAAAGGCATGAAAAGGCCACGCACGTCCACTTCCGCAGTTGTTGGACAGAGGGCAACCATATCTACCCGGGCAAAAACTGGGGGAAAAGCAAGAAAGAGCGCATCAAAAGTAAATAACATAAATAATTGAATAAATCAAGAAATCAATAGATAGACTAAATAAATGAACAAATGAATAAAAATAGATAGATAAATCACAACAAAACGAGCGTTTATCAAAATCGGAGGTACCCCGGGCGTGCGGCCCGGCCTGGCGCTGGACCCCGGGTCCTTCCGCTGAAAAAGAACCGAAGGCAGCGGATGCGCGCGCGCGCGGATGGGTCGGGGCTGGTTATCGAACCAGGCGGCTCCTTGGTTTGATTGGGGGGCAAGTCGTTTTTTGGGCTCCATTTAGGAACTCCAAATCCCACGATTTTCCCTTTCGACCAAAAGGAAGTCGATTCATTTTGAGAAACTGCCAGTGGTGCGCTAGCTGGATCCATCTTGCGAGCTCGTTCGATGGTTTGCGACCTCCATCAAGATTCCTTTTCTTGGGGTGCCTTTTGCTAGGGATCTGCACCTTTTTTTGGGAAAAGGATGCTAAAAGGTGGCGTCTGTTAGGACCCGCTGCCAATTCTAGGTCGGCGAGTGTGGTGTGAATAGGTAATTATCCTTTGTTTTCGGTCAGTTTGGTTGAAATCATATGGATTCCTCTCACAATTCCGGTCTCAGCTTGGTTATACAAAACCTAACCGGACTTTGGATCCGCCCCTTCGAAAGGAAGCGGAGGTACAGCGTCTTCCACCGCAAAAACGCCTCGCAGGCCTCGCACGGGTTTGCCCCTCGAGTTGATGCAGCCGTCTCGGCTTTTAGGCTTTTAGGCTTTTAGGCTTTTAGAAGCAAAACTCACACGGAACCAATGGCTATGATGCGGGAATACCCTCATAAATAGTTGGTGAATGCAAATCCGCGTGCAACCATAATGTCCACCAAACGATGTTCATTACAACATCGTTCCTGAATGAGCTCACTGGACGCACCCAAGTTGGCCTGCCAGGCTAACGATTTTCTTTTCCACACCTCCTGTCTCATGTGCTATGCTGGACGCAGAAACTATTCCGCAAGTTGCAATCTCGGGATTCTGGGACTGAAGTTTGGGTGGCCCCTAGATCAGATTTCAAGGTGCTGGGCTGGGTTCCTTTCCAAGTGTAACTTTACTTGCGTTTGTTTCAAAATAGGGGACCCTTTAAATTGGTTGGTTCCCTTTGGTTCCCTTCATTTGCTTCCTGTTTTGGGCCAGCCGAATCCACACTTGTTGTGGGATTGGGTGGCTTATGCTCTGATCCGGGTGAGCGACGGACCGTGGGTCCCGCACTGCCTTGAGCTCGGATGGGTCAATGCATTCGAAGGCTTGGCACCTTGCGTAAGTCTTGGACTTGTGGTGGTACCACTTTGAGCAGGGGCTAGGCAGTGAGGAAACATGAGGAAACCCACTAGGAATTTGTACGGGACCCTCGACTGTCTCACTGGCCTCTTTGGTTTCGATCGTTTACAAGAGTTCGCCACCCGACACTTCGGCCCTGTGGCCACCCGATTTCCGAGGCTCGAGATGGCTCCTGCACAGGCGCCCGCGCGCGTCACTACCATCGGGGCAGAAAGGTACGGAGCCTGTTACGCTGTTTGAAGGATGGCTCGTGCACGAGGTCTAGGCGGATGACTTGATCCCTGCAAACCGTTGAATCGAAAACACAGCTAATTGAAGTTCAAGGGTTGGCCTCAATTTCCGCCACATATACCACCCATTGTGCCCGTCGTAAGAGAAACTCCCTCATTCTCTGAGGAACAGCCGTGTCGTAACCCCATCATCACCACCACCACCACCATCATCATCTTCATCTTCATCTTCATCTTCATCATCAGCATTATCATCAGCATCATCATCACCAGCATCATCATCATCATCAGCAGCATCATCAGCATCAGATAAACAATGGAACTGGAGTCTTCACAGACGCTTTTGTGCGAACTATGTTGAAAGGAAAGAAGGAGGGATCTTCTGTTGGAGAAAGCCCAAAGCCCACGGCTTGCGAATGCGTTCAGGCAGATGCCACGGGTCGGATCCTGGAGCTGCTCAAGGGTGCAGGCCTGGGGGAGGAGTGTCCAGAGGTGTCCTTGTTGTTTTACCTGGTGGTTCAATCTGCCCAGGGAAACCCATTTGGCTGCGGTTTTGGTTGGTAGGGGCACCACCCATTTTAGTCTATTTTAGTGGGGATTGGGATGCTCACTGGGGGTACGGGATTTTGACCCATGGCCATTTATTTTAGGCGTCCTATGAGGGTATTTGGAGTGCGCAAGCGGTTGGATCAAACAACGTGAAGTAGGCATTGGCTGCAACAAGCATCCGAGCTCAACAGCCAGGTGATGTGGCTCCGAGCAGTTTTCTGTTTTGGTAATTTGAAACTTCACCCTTGAGGGCGCCTTTAAAATCAGCTGCAATTGAAGGCTGACGCTTTAGTGGGAAACACAGGGAACTTGCAAATGTGCCACTGCAAATTCAAAGAATTTCCCCCTCCTATCAACTAACGTGGAACGACTCACGGCTCCTGGAACTTCAGACCTCCTGGTGGTTTCCATAATGGTTTGGAGTCTGGATGATTCCATTGGATCTCCCAACCTGGCCTGAACCTCGCTTTGAGGTGCTAAACAATCGGAATGTAAGTTGCTAGAAAACGCGGAAACAATCTGGAATCTCCTTGTATCAGATTTCTAAGGTTAACTGGATATGGACCAGACTCAACCGCCTCGAAATGTGGGATCCCCCTCAAAGGGAGATTCACTACCTCATGTTTTGGCCGTTTTCAAATGAGCCAAGAAGAAACTCGTTTTTTGCCGGGTCCGATTTCTATTTTGAGGCAAATCACTTTGCTGGGATCGGTGGGGCCCGAGCCGGCCTGAAGCCTCCAGGCGTGCCCGAGTCCAAGGCGGGGCTGTGGAGGGATCCGGAGTGCCCGGAAGCCTCAGGAGCAAATGGGTTAAGTAGGGGAGACCCAACAGGCATCCCTACTTACTTGGCTTCCAGCCATTTCCTTACTTTTAGTGTTTAGTGGTGGTATCCTTTAACCCACTAGATGTTAAACTTTAGCGGGGGATCTGAGGCCAGCCCTACTTAGTATGCAAAAGACACAGGTAGATGTTTGTAAGAGCGGGTTTCCCGCAGGTTTAAGTGCGAATCCGCCGGGGTTTCGGCGTCAAGGTCTTGAGGGTCCATCGCAAGAATCGATGAGCAAGGGATGTGGCATGGTCGAGTTCCGGTCACTCCTTCTGCAGCCTTGCCAATTTTGAGCATGTGTGTTTGTGTCTGTGTCGTTTTTAGGGGACCCCCTGAACAGTGGTGTTGCTTTGGGTTTTCCCGTTGACAACCATGAAAAAATTGGGTGCCCTCCAAAAAAAGGCCATTTCAGGAAAATCCGGGGAGATTCGCCACTTATCCTAGAAAATATGGCCCCATTACTTGAAAGCAGAAGAGAGGAGACCATGGAAAGTCCTTGGCAAATAGGCTCTGGAACTCATGCCGTGGGCCAATGCCGCACAATATACTTCACTTGTATATGGTTGTCCAAAAGCTGCACAGAAATGCACCAATTCTAGCAGAACACAGTTGTCAGCAGGTTGTTGGCGTAGGCGCACAACGCGAGCTGTTGGGTGCTTTGTTTTTGTAGCCTGGCGGTCAACTTCACATGAAGCGCGGTCAGAATTTACGGAAAAGGAAAGTAGTCTACACTTGGACATCCATATAGCTCAAGGTGCTTGAAACCATTCAAAACGATAGGGGGCTCTCAAAACAACGATACCTTTGTGTTGCAGACCAAACGCTGGAAAATGATAGGGGACTCTCTAAATTCGAACGTACTTACTGTGAACAGTAATTTTAACGGAACTTCACATGAGTTCGGAGGAGCCTACTAGTCAGTCAGGAGTGGTTCTCCTTTCAGCATGGGGAATCTGTGCATATCGAATCTTCGGATTCGTCGGAAGTGGACCTTCTCACGGCCGGTGAGCGTGGGTGAACCACCCAGCTGGCTGTTTGTCGGATTGGTTCCCTCACAGGCACAACAGCTTTACTCATGCCTTGCATGCACATATGTACTGAATGGTGCTTGTTGGATCTTGAGCCGCCCTACCAAACTATTTGTTGTTGCTAGCATACCCCCTACAACATTGTCGTGGTTTCTGGGAAACCGAGGAACAAACACGATTTTGCGATTTTGCGGGTCCAAGCAATTGGAAACTCATGCCCTGTGCTTCGGAACTCCCGCGGACCGATTCGATGACAGGCCCCCACCAGTTTGGAGTACCGGGGCCAATGGCAGCCGAAGCCCAACGGTGCGGAGACGGGCCACGGGGTGGTGCCCAAGGCGCGGTGAAGCGACCGACCGGGGACCAACAACTTTGGACCGCGTAAGGGAAACCAAAAGGAAACCACGGTCCAAACGCCCGGAGGAGTTCAACTATTTTGAGAAGCACTCCCCAAAAAAGGTCAAGCGGCCATTTTAGGAGGTGGAACCGGTTTAACTTTGTTTGAGAACCCCAAAAAGCAGGGGACTTGGACAAGGCGAACAGAGAGAGAACCCACAGACTTGACTGGGACGACAGGCTCCCTTAAAGAACGTTGGGGTAGATAAATCATTGCTATAGAGGTTTCCCTCCAATCAAAGCAGCCTTTTTGGACTCTTTGGATTTGTACGGACCGCTTGAATTTGGGGGTGTCCCTGGTTCCTGAGGAACACCCAATTACTAAACAGGGTTTATGAATCTGGGGTCAACATTACAAGATGATTTGTTTTTTGGACTCCTGTGGTCTCTCAAAAAAGTGATGCGCAGAAGCCCACCCAAAAAGAAAAACATATGGTGGCCCAAACACCCCAGAGAGTTTCTTCAAGAATGGGCTTGCGCATGCAATTTCCTATACTTGTCATGGTTCACCTTCACCTATATACTGGTATGAGGGAGCTGAGGTGCACACTCATCAAATTGCCGTATAATGTAAGAAGGAGTACTTTCCAAATGCATACACGGGTATGTCTTTTTCTAAGGGGACCCTTTCTAAGGGGACCCCCAAAATGGTGGATTTCCTCTTGGTTTACCCTTCTAGCAGTCAAAACCCCCCATTGATTGGGAGAGTGCCCATTTTTCCCCCAACGAATTTCGGCGCTCGATCGGATACCGTCGTAACCAGAGACTATGCCAACTAGAGATTGGAGCTCGTTCATTGAAAACGACTCCTTCAGCACCTTACGAGAATCAAAGTTTTTGGTTCCGGGGAAGGTATGGTCGCAAGGCTGGAACTTAAAGGAATTGACGGAAGGGCACCACCAGGAGTGGAGCCTACGGCTTAATTTGACTCAACGCGGGAAACTTACCGATTGACGCTCTTTCTTGATTCTATGGGTGGTGGTGCATGGCCGTTTTTAGAGTTGCTGGAGTGATTTGTCTGCTGAATTCCGACGGGCGAGACCTGAACCTGCTAAAAGTGGAGGACTTAGGAGTGGGCAACTTAGGACTTAGAACTACATAGTGGCCTCGGCTATGACCTCGGTTCCTATGGGCAACTGAGGAGTGGGCCCTCGAGCTGGCCTCGGAGAACGACCGGACCCTTGCCTCCTTCGGCCCGGGGCCAGAGAGCCAGCGAGCGAGCGAGCGCTGGGGGGGGGGTTTTGGGGGAAGCGACGCGAGGCGCGGGTTCCAACCGGGCGCAAAAAAAGACGGCCGGCTTTTTGGCTGACCCCTCATATGAACATCGACCCCAGTTTGTAGGGGGGATGAGTTGTTGGGTTGAGTGGGGAAGCATCACTTTTGGAGGGGGGATTTTCCCATTAATAAACTGGGGGTAGTTCATATGGGGTCGACAATAGACATGTTTCCACCGTTGCCACCATTCTGGAAGGGCCGCTTTTTATTTTATCATTTAGGGAAAACCTGGGTCATTTCACCATCGGATTGGCGAACACCCGCCGACTTTCTCCTGACAACAATCCCACCATTCAGACGGCTTCCCCTTTTAAAGGCAACTCTCGGGTTTTCCTCCCCCAGCCCGCGGGCCCATGGGGCGGCCGCCCGGAGCCGGCCGCCGGCCTCCGGGCCTCCGGGCGTCTCGCTTAGGCTGGGCCGGCGGAGCGCAGCTCTGCCTCTCCAACGCCTTCCGCCAAGCGGAGGAGTTGGAGGCCCAGGCCCAGGCGGAGAGGGAGATGCGGAGAAGACGGCGACGTGTGGAGATGTTCTTTCCCCCGGTGGATGGGGATGGAAGCCGAAAAAGGGCGGCCGGTTCCGCGAAATTTACTCAATTTATGGCCCTATACCATCAAGCGTTTTTGGGGGGTGGGCATGTTCAGTTCAGGTACGTGTGACCTTACGAGCCATTTCCTTTCTAAGTTTGAGTGGACAGAGGTAATCCAGAAGATACCCCGGGCCCCAGCTTTATGGGTTCTTGCCATGGTGAAATCAGGAGGGCGCTGAAAGTGGGTGAGCATCTTACACTCTTTTGGTCGCACACGTCGCACATCCCGATACGTGGGTCATTTTAGATCTTTTTCTGGGGGTAAAAGTAAGAGTCTGGGATTAGCCAAGTGTAGTGGGTTGACTTAGATCATGGGACAATTATTCGACCAGATCTACTTAGGGGCAGTAAATTTTAGAGAACATTGATTCACCCGTGGACGACGCGGAGAACAGCGACTACAGATCGAGAGCACACCACCCTTTCTTCGAAGAGTGAGTGCCAGAAGACACAAACCATCTTAAGCACTCGAATGTGGATCCAACGGAGGGACTCGTCAAAGACACGAAGACGGATGGACGCATGATAGAAGGAAACATGGCATCTTGATTGCTTGGGTGCTTTCTCATGCTCTTGTTGCAGTTGTCCAGAAGCTCCATGTCGTAATGTCGTGCGTCCCCGACAATTCTGGATGCCCACGCGCAAGATCCAAGCAACATTGTGATTGCCAGGAAAGTATGCACAGATACTTTGGGCTTGATCCAACGAAAGGCATCTGGCTTGCGATCGACTTGGGCTTTCTGACTTTAATTCATGCAGTTTTCCACCGGTTCTCAGTTTGTCAGTTTGGGATTGCCCGAAGGAGACCAGGCACTCACTTGGGCTTACAAACTATACACCTCCCAACTGGTTTCTGTTTGGCTCCATCGACCAAACACTCTGAACCGTTCCCCGTCGAGAAACTTTAAGTGGCCAGGACCTCATTGACAGCGGCACTTGCACCAAAGACGACGCGCCGGTGCAATGCATCCGCGCCATCGCCGCTTTGCCATCCGCAAGCCGTCGGTGTGACATCCCTCTGGGCTAGGATCTCACCCGGCCCCGAACCCTCCGGCTTTTCGCCCCAAAAATAGGATCCTGACAAGGCCCTATTCAGGCCTGAGTTGAAGGACACCAGGGCGGGCATGTGTGTGTGTGTGTGTGTGTGTGTGGCCCCCCTGTTCCTAAGGGGTTCTGCGGTCGTGTCTCTCTTTTTCCTTTTCCTTTTTGGAGTCGGGTGCCACCATGCGGATTGCTGATTCAAAAGTACCTCGAGAGTGGCGATGGCACCCCTGATGAGGACGCCTCTCACGAGCGAAATTGTTTCAGGATACGCATGCCGAAACTCCAACCTGATTCAGTGCTTGAGTCCACCTACGTTTCGGGGTGCACATTCGCAGTTTGCCGTCTCATATCAAGTGTGTTTAGGCACTGCGTCCGGGCTTCGGTCAGTGTCTTGATCCCCGTTGTGGGCATCTGTTCCGACTCATGCTCAGACATTTTCTACAGACTGTTACCGGACCTTGTCGCTCGTGACGCTTGACTGTTCCAGCTGACCTTATCAATGCAGGCTTGGACCTCTCCCAGACCTTCCGGCACCCCAGACTGTTTCCGTGAACCGTTTCTGTCAGACCAACTGTTTGACAACCAATCCGACTACCCGACACATCAGGTGGAAAATCACGACGCCGTCAGCTTGGTCTTGGCTCGCAATTGTTGGCACTAGATGTCTCGCCCCCACGCAGGTCCGATGTCGAACTCGGCAGGCCCCATGGCCAAAGCATCCAGGAACACTGCCGGCCCTACGCCGCCCAGGTCTCCGGTGCACCAGTCAGCATCACCGAGCAGGAGTACGCTTGTGACACCAGCCTCGAGGATATCTTGCGAGGTGTCCAACGCCTCAAGGGCTGCCAAAGCAGCGGTCCCGGCTCTTGCCCCTGGTGACGTATCGGCATCGGTCCCTACCTTGGAGGTCTGGCCTGCATCTGTAGCTGGCCCACTGCCGCAAATCCTGGTGAAAGCACGCCCGGCCACGCCGATGACACCAATGACTCCGATGACGCCAACTACCCCGACAGTTTCAACTACAGCATGCCCACCTATGCCCACAGCACCGACACCTATTACACCGATCCCTACGGCAACCCCATCAGGTCTGATGCTTCCACCGCCCAACCCACCATCCAGATCACGCCACGCGACGGAGGGAGACAGGTCACGTACCCACCACGCTTCCCCCTACTCCAAGTCAGTGCCCCCACAGCGGCGAGGCCGAGCTCGCTCCCGGACGCCACCTCCGATCTCCCGAAGGGACTCAGCATCGGACAACACCGCGACGGAAGCATCGAATGCTACCGCGCCGACGCCTACAGCAGCCAAGTCCTCATCCCGGGCACCTACGGCAACTAAAGCTTCATCCCGGCGACCGAGAAGCAATCGATCTCCCCTTCCGCGTAGCAGAAGCAGTGCCCCGTCAGCTCCGGCCTCCAAGGCCGCAGGAGCTCACCCGGATGTGGGGTCGTCCTCGAGGAGCATGCAGCTACGCCCCAATCCGCAGGCACAGCCACCGCTGGTCTTGCTTCCTAATCCGGAGTCTGATCCTTGGAGGAACGAACTTCAGGTGCTGGCCGCACCATATCTTCGCGATGGGATCCCAGTCAATCAGGATCAGATGAGCTATGTGGCCGCGACCTTGAATGCAGCAGGCATACCGTCTCAGCACTCCACCCTGAACTATGCGAAGGTCAACCCGGATCATCATTTTTATAAGATCACCCCGCACTGGTTCATGCTGACCGTCCCTTATCTTGGGGCCACAGTCCGGCTCAAAGAACCGACGAAGACGCGACCCATGCTGCTCTGGACTCACGCTTCCAGTGTTGGAGGTACTCGCGGCATCCTGCGGAGCCGACAGATCCATCCTTCCCGGCAGCACTCCTCGGAGTCCAGCCTTTTATGCCCAGGGCTGGAAGATCACTGGACACGCCGACTACGACGCTGAAGAAATCGCTCGCACGATGAGCCAGAACTGGAGCATGTCTTTTAACATGGCTCAATTGTTGCTATTCGGACGCGCTGTTGGCACCTGTCAGCCCATTCGGTCGGGAGGAGAGCAAGCTTGCATTGAGGCCCTGGACTCCAGTGAACGTCCTGATGTCATCCACTATGTGTCGGGCAAGTGTTGGATGGTGATCCCGGAGGCAAGCCAGATTGTCGGACTCGCATGGCCCACCGATGCAAAGCCACCTACTGGTGTCCTCCGCTCGTGAACCTGCACCAGGAGCTGTTGTAGCCAATGACAATTAATGATGTTTCATTGCGAAGAAGAGCATTCTTCGCCACACTGCCGTCTTCGACTACCGACGATATTTTGCGACAAAAAGTGCACGCCAGGGCCTCATTCGAGTATGTGCTGACCTTATTGCAGGGCTTCCTTTTTCTTTCTTTCTTCTTTTTTTTTTGAAGTTTTGAGTAACTAACGCTGTTTTCTGGTCTCTCACCGCCCCGGGCCTGGTCGGATTTTGGGTGTCGTTTTCGCAATGGTTGTTGTCTCGGAAATGTGTGGCGTTCCCCCTAGCGTTTAACCCATTAGCAGTGTGACCGGCAACCTCCTATCTAGTGATGGCTTCTCAGTGGAGCTATTCATGGCCGGCGGCATCGGCACCTTCCTCCTCTTCGTATTCGGGACCCTCGTATCTTCCGTCATGGTCAGTTCCGCAGTCCCAGCAGGAGGCGTATCTCAGCTCCAATCGGACGGAACCATCGCAACATCAACTTCGCGAAGAAGCACCGCCTCGCGTCAATCCCCCTCGGCCCCCACAGATGGCTCATCAGTTTCCTCCTCAACCACCTGGTCAATTTTACAACTATCACGGTGGTGGAACAAGCCACATGCAGACGGGTCCTCGTCCTCCACCACCCGCACCGCCAGCTCAACCTCCAGTTCGGGCACCTCTCGGCCAGGGTGATGCAACGCAATACACTCAGCCTCGATATTCGCAGCTACTTCCGAGCACCTTCCAATCTGACGATATCTTCTTGGATAAGACGGAGGTCCGCGGTCTGCAGCTGTACCGTCACGTTCAGCCCACTCAGTGGTCCAGAAGAGTCGGGCTCGCAGGAACAGCTATTCTGGATCTTCCACTCACACGACTTCTTCGAGGAGGAGCAGAAGATCACGCATTACGAGCGCTGTCCAATGGTCGCTACAGCACACCAGTCATGGCTCAGACAATAGCCGAGGTAGTCTTATTGACTTCCATTCTCAAAGCATTGAGAGGCAGGGAGGTCGACATTGACAGGACAGCTCGCTCTCTCCACGCGGACAATGCGCCGGACAAGCGCAATGAGGCCATGCAGTTTATGGAGCCACTTGCAATCAAAATCGTGGATCTTATGGAGTCCTTGCAGCCCGCCAAGCAGGAGAACCTCACTCGCCACAAAATTGCCGAGTTGGAGCAACAGTTGGAGCGCTACAAGAGCAAAGGCATCACTCTTACACCGGATAAGAAGCTGCCATCCTCGTCCCCTTCCAATGCCGCGTCCTGGACCCCCACGCCCGGCCGCTCCGACCAGTCTCTCTACATTAATGCGGCCAACTCGGATCAGCCAGGACCTCCCCTACCAGTTCCATCTCCAGAGGCTGATCCGGCTCCTAAGCGACGACCAGCAAAGCGAAAGACCCCGGCGGCTCCCCCGGATGTTACTCTAGACTCGGACCTTCTACGTCAAGGGAACCCCAAAGGTCAGCAGGTGCCACTTCCTACCAGTCTCACGGACAAGGTCTTCAAGGCATGGCTACACGAACGCACGCTGTCCAACCAAGCGAACTACCTTGATCTCATCAAACAGGAGCTGGCATCTGACACTGTGGAGCAGTTGAAAGCCATTGCAGTCAAGTGGGGGGCCACCGTCTCTTTAGTGAGCAAAGGCTCGAAGCGAGCACTCCTGCAGTTCATCACGGTGATGTACATGTATGGCAAGTGAGGGGAGTGACGGTAGCGCTCATGAGGAAGGAAGTTAGCACCATTGACACGACTGGTCTGAAAAGCCCGCTGCTCCTCACGCCTGCACCTTGCCCGGAGACCATCAGCGGCCTTTTACCTTTCCGTTTTCATGTAGGTTTTCGGGGTCGCGGGTTGGTTGTTCGGGGTTTTTTCCGGTTTTCCGTTTTTCCTGTTGACCTAATCAACCGTTCAGTGCTCGAGCGTTGGATGCATGGCTAAGCCATGCCGGTCATTCAATCTCCAGAAACGGTTTTTCTCTTGCAACTATATAGTCAGTATGCGCGGTCGGAGCTTTGCAGTGCAGCCAGACACTATGGTATTCCTGAGCCGTCTTGGCCGGTGAGCTTGCAGCATGGCACCGATTATTTCCTTCCCTACATCGTCGCGCTTATTGCAATCAGACTTGGGGACTCCCTCGATGTGCATGCAGCCCACCAGTATTATCAGGTTCTCTATCTGATCATCGTTACCAGTCGCCAAATCCTCAACATGCCGATGGTCAACAAGCAACTGTCTATGTGGTCTGAGTCAATGTCCACCCTGCTGATGGTCCATCACTACGGTCGTCCCACGCACGCGCTCACGGAGCTCAGGCGCCGACTCCGGCGGTTACGCATCACCCGAACATGTACACCTTCGGCCACTTCTTGCAGCCCAACGCAGTGTATTGGAAGCAGCGAGTCGAACTCCGCCCAGACCTTCCACGCTCAGTCAACCTGCAGTCGGACGTATATATTGGAAGCACCAGCATCACTTATCCCAGTCGAGAACACAATCGTAGGGCCAAGTTACTGGGTATTCAGCACGGACAGTTTATTAATGCAGAGCCGGCCCTCAGATGGTGGCATCATTTTGGTAACTATGACGAGTTCGCTACATGGGTTATCTTCACAGACTCTGACCATACCGTCACCTGGACGCAGGAACACGCCTTGATCAGCATCTATCAGCCGTCCCTCAACTGGCCCTACATCTACCGGCGGTACAAGCGCAT